CATTATTATAGGACCTGTTTTCATTATTTATTTGTATTATTGCTGCATAAATAGCAATTCTTTATACATTGTAACTCAGTTTGTAATTTGACAATGCTTATATTTGAATTTCTAATGTTAAATCCTCATGACCTCAGTAAAGCACGTCTTGCACCATTTCAGTTGAGATTATCATGAAAAATGACAGGATATTTTACATTATAATGAAATTGTGAATTTATCATAAGAAATGTGTTATTCTTTTTTGTTTGTCTTTTTTATGTCCCAATGTTCAGATGTAAACTCTGCTTTGACTTGTACTGCTTTGACCAAACATTTCATTCGATATGTCTTTGTATGCCGTTTTCTTTATTTCACTTATTTTATTTATCTACTAATTAATTTAATAATTTTTGGATAAACAAAAAAAGTTTTGGTTGGAAAATATAGTAATAATAATGTGTGGAATCAGACAAACCATTCTCTTTTGATAAAAATTGGATTCTACAACTAGTAAAAATGCATATAAATGACTATAGAAGAGAATAACAACCTACAAGCCAGTATGAGGATAAACAGAAATTGAAAATGCCAAGCCATGAGACTGTTGTAAGACCAAAGACAAGTCTATGCAGAACTAAAAATCTACCACATAATCTCCCATTATTTGTTTTTCTCCATGTTTTGTATTGTATATGGTACATTGGTGCTCTGTTTTAATTATATACAATTAAAAGGGATGTTAACAGTCCTCCTGTTGAGACATAATTTCCATTGTTAACAGTTGTTTATTTTCCCAATAAAATGAATTATGACAAAGAAATGTTTTTTTACTTTACCTTTTAAGTCAGTGTTTGAAAGTGGTAAAATCCAATACATTACATGATTTTACTTGTGTTAAAAAAGTGCAGAAATGATACCGTATACATTTTCACTCAAGGACAGTATGAGCATATAGTTTTAACAGTATGTCTGAACATAAGTTTTTAGATTGAAAGCAAACTTTTGTGTCTTGCACATATAGGAGACCCTTTTCTTGAAAATTGTAATCATCACTGCGAGCATTGACACTTTGTAGCATTGGAACATTTACAAACATATTATTTAATTTATGTAATTATGCTTTTTCTGTTATTTACGATTCATTTGTCACAAATGACTGTGATACATGCATACATACATACA